TCGTATAATATGTCTTGAAGCTTTTCAGTTTTCAATGACAATTGGTGACGTTGGCAATCAAAGGAGTTACAGGATGTTTTCATTAATTGATCTCGAATTTACCATTTTCATGTTCAGATTTTAGTAGTGAATACCATGTTCTGTCATTTGAACAAGAAGCAATGCTATTGTCTCCATTCAGAAGAATGCAAGCAGATTCCTTGATTTTTCTCTTCTGGAAAAGAAGATAACAACCAGATCATAAAAAAAATAAGAATTTGTCACTGGTGAAGAGTAGAGTGTGTAGAGTATCTTTTACGGGCACTTCGAAATCACTTGATCTCAAAGTTTCGATAATTTCCTGAGATTTCGTAGTCAAGATATATCATTATGTTCGAAATGAAGGTAGGAACACAAATACTTCACAGTTTGTCTGTTTTTTAAGAAATTCACACCCTACTCAGGCCCACCTATATCTCACCTGAATCCAATTATTAATTTTCGATCGTACATACCAAGTCTTCATTCAGAAATGAAGTGTCACGTAGTTCCTTATTCCATCAGAATCTCCACATTCTCTTGATTCCGTTCTGAATAAATTATAATTTTTCGACTCTGTCTCCTGGAACGGGTATTATATCTCTGGGTTGCAGCTGGTACTTCCTCAGTATGAACTACAGTTGCAGGAATGTAATCTTCGTTATCATTTGCTCTAGGCACCTCCATTCCCTCCTTATAGCTGGTAGCCAAACTTTATGGTCTCAAATTGTTCTATATGTTACCAGCTTTATTTGACATTGGGTGCTATTGAAACTAACTTCCCGATAATTCTTGAATACAATCTGATAGTACAAGTTCTCATGTTAAAAAAATGTGCTAATAAACTTCGGATCCTATCCTGTTTTTCTTCCGATAAGCTTAATGGTCATGTTGGTACTATCGAAAACAAATTCTAAATATTCAAGTTTTTGGGTTGAAATATTTATGCTTTTCTGAGTGTTGATTATGAATCCTAAGAACTGGAGAATATTTATCGTAGTTTTTATGTACTGCTGACATAAGTCATAAGATTCGCCTATTAAAAGAATATCGTCCAAATAAACTACCAAACGACAACCCTTCAATCTCAGATATTTGATAATTGTTTTCAACAGCTTTGTGAAAATATAAGGTGCTATATTCAAACCAAAGGGCAAACAATTGAAAAGGATATATAAATTCATTCCTCCATTCCTATGAAGACATTCTGATATTGCACCTTTTTTCAAGAAACTATAAATTTCTGATAGGTAATTTGCCTGTTGGCTGTCTGAAATAGTAACTGACGGCCTGATAAACTGACGTGGTGTATCTGAAAATGGAATTTTCAAACCTCGAGTCCATTATAGCAAGGTTTTATTCTTTGTTATTTCAAACCATCGCCCAGTAGAACATTTTGAGCTGCCCGCATAGTTTTTCACCTGATTTACTGTTGATATCTGTATCTCTGGCGTGAGTACTCCTTCAACTGATGGTTGCGTCCCGCTGATCTAGGTGCTTCCTCTCGATTCCAAGATGTTCCTGGTTTCCTGGCATCCCTCGGCTCTCTCCTCATCCGGGTCTTTCGAAAAACTCTCTTGTTCGTTTCTTGCTTTACATCCTTCTCCACATTCCCCTTGATCTCTTCGCTTGCCTTCTTCATCAGCTGACACGATTTCATCTTCTCTATGAACCCCGATCCAAACAAATACTCGTCTATTGAACTTTGTTGCGAGGCCGCTCTACTGTCTGCGTTGATGAACGAAATTATGCTTGTTCGGCGATGTATTGACATGGTGGATGTTTGCAAATATTTGAGCTGCTTTCACTAGAGCCTGAAATTTTTCGTCTGTCAATATCAATTCTGCTGAAGGTTCCTTAACTTTCATATCTATCAATCCACTTGAAGCACTGAAGCCTGATCCAAGTTGTTCCTGTAGTGAGTATAGAATGTTTTCCCTAATCTTGTCAACATCAGGGATAAGATTTTTCAACTCCTCATTGAGTTTCGGAGGATGCAATGATGGACAATTTTCCTACCCCGCTTGGCACCAAAATACACCTTTTCACCCTTTATATTTCAGAAAGGAATCGTGAAAATCGATCCATAAATAAAAAGTTCATGAGGGTGGCCCGCTTTCAAATGGGTCACTCTGTATGTACAGTGCGCCCAAGTTGAGGATGAACAGCATGGGGATCTCGGTTATCATAAATGTTACACATAAGCTCGAATGGACAGAAGTTGCGCAATTGAGGGGTCAATAAATAGATGTTGAGATATCCCATAAATGTTGACAAATTCCGGGAAAATTCGGAAATTGATGTTTTGGATTTCATTTGATTTTTTGAAGATATCGAAAAAATTCCAAAAAACCACAGAAACTTCCATACTTTCACTGTTCCTCCTCCGTGCAACGTTTTGTTTCGAAGATACCATCATCAACTAAATTTTTTCATATGACACTAATAAAATACATCCTGTTTGACATAGCATTTGTTATCGTCAATAATGCAACGATTTGATTTGATTGCATTCATCACGCATATGAAACTCCAATCCACATTGACAAAAAATAGTATATTATTCAACAAGCGCATAATGATGACTATTACCCATGAAGATGAAAGTTGCAGTACGAGCCGAAAGCGAGTGCTGTAATCATCTGACTTTGTTTGACATAGCATTTGTTATCGTCAATGATGCAACGACGTACGGCACAATATATTTTTCTATGTTTTTATCAAGAAAAATGCATCAGATGCCATATAAAAAACTAAGTTGATGATGGTTTCTTCGAAAGAAAACGTTGAATAGAAATTTTGTGGATGCCATTTTGTAGAGGTAGAAAAGTGGAAACGAGGAAGTGCCTTTGATTTTTTCGAAAAACTTCAATAACATGTCGATGTTTTGGATCATTTGATTGCATTCATCACGCATATGAAACTCCAATCCACATTGACAGAAAATAGTATATTATTCAACGAGCGCATAATGATGACTATTACCCATGAAGATGAAAGTTGCAGTACGAGCCGAAAGCGAGTGCTATAATCATCTGAGTGGGTAATAGTCATAACGTGCGAGTTGAATACTATACTTTATCTACAACTATTCAAATATCAAAGAAACTCTGAGAGTTCCGAAATAAATCTCTGGAAATAATGAAGGATATCATATTGCAAAATCACTCAATCTGATTTGAGATACTCATTAGTTTCATCAAAAACTCATTGACAGAAATCACAATCAACGAACAGCTTATAACTTATTTCAATAATTTTGATTGTGGAAATATGATAAACAATGTTGGATCTAACTTTTATTAACAGGAAAAAAGTCGTGCAATCACATATCAGTCGATCTTCCCGGGTTTTATATGACATTTTAATTCTCAGTTGTAAAATGAATCATACTATTGCAGATTATACAAACTTGCTTCCGCTCTAGCGTTGTCCCCCCGCGATGATTATTTGTAGTACCTTGTCTCTAGGCGCTAGTTATCAACAATAAAGTTCCATGGTAGTAAACAATAATAATTATTCACCTACTACAATAATGATTCCACAAAAACCAGATACTGAAAAGGATGCAAAAACGCCTCCATCGAAAAAAGAACTGATAGCACAAGGTGCGACGACCTCTGATGAACCTGTTGCAAATAAAAACACGGGAATTTCCAAAAGTAGACAAGAATTCAAATGATAAAATAATTTCAAACAGAGACGGACCAGAAGAGTAAATGTACAGCAAGAGTACCAGACCATTTCGACTCTTTTCCCATGTTAATTCCCATAAGAAAATTTGAGGTCAAAAATAGCAAAAATGGCTCTTTTTTCATATACAGCCAGAGCATAGGGACTCAATTCAGTTTTTCGATGTCAATCTCCATAAGAAAATCCAAGGTTGAAAAATAACAAAAATGGCTCTTTTTTCAATCCCTGGGATAATATTTCTCTCATCATCATTGGGACTGAGAGCAATCTTCTTTTGTGTGATAGAACGAACTTGATGTTTATCTGATTTCATCAAATTCTGAGTGACAGTTTTTTCCTTCCAATTATCCAAGTACTGAACATAATCATCGAAGGTTATTGATGTTTTCACAACAGTCGACTTCACACCCTTAGCCTTCTTCGTTATACCAAAATTCCTCAGAATATCATCAATTTCAAAATCATCATATCCTTCATGCATCAGTTCTCCTCGTTTCCTTATAATGTCATTTATCGTAGTAAGAATCCTAGTTGCGTAGAGTTTTGATCTCAGACCAACGTAGTCGATCATCGGTACTCCGTTTTGCTCATCTTTCAACATTCTCAGCACTCTCTTATTGACTTGAGGAATATTATAGATGTTATTCGATTCATAGTCGGAGGTATCGAAGCGCTGATGACAGTCCTTCTTCATAACCTTATATGGATCTTGACCAACAATCTCATAAATCAAGCTGTCAGTCTCAGTGTAGAGAACTGAGCAATCACGAAATGTGTTGGACATATAGTCGTAGTGAAAGTCATATAATGTTTTCTTAGCGAAATCTAAAATAGCTTGACCAACATAAATGGGTTTGTTGGGATAGATTTCCAGTTTTTTCATTTCTACAGCAATCAAATTTTCATTGGAGACTGTACAATTCTTGAACTCGGGTTTTGAAATGTACTCCTCAGCACCATATCTTCCCACCCACTCCGTCAAAAGTCTGACATCAACTCTCTTCCTGATGTTCTCCATTGTCTTACCAAAAACAGCGTTGTTGACATACTTCTCCTTGTAGCGTAGGGTTGCCATCAATTTGACGTGTTCGCGTACAGATTTGGGAGGCTTTCCAGTCTTAGGATTGATATGTTGAGGACGAAATGGAATATCGTCATGTACATCGTGAAGGATAATACAAATCGACTTCTAAAATATATCCTTCTTCTGCATCATCGGGGATAGCCGTGACGTCGATATTGGTGTCAGTCCATTCAAAACCTCCTTATGGAAAAGCTTGAGACATAGCTCATCCGTATTGGTTATTGACGTCATAGTACATCAAGAAGGAATCGGCTTTCGGAGGATCATAATCAGGAATATATTTATTGTTTGCATGAGCTCTTCTTTTTGAACAAACTTGACTGAGACCTCCTCGGATGCCTTTCTCAACAAACAGAAACATGGCATCCCAAGTGAATCCTGGCAGGGTGTAATAGTGTGCAGGGTCAAGATTGTAGGTTCTGAGGCAGCTGGTGCGAAACTGTTCAAATACGTCTGCGAGAAGGAGAATATCAGTCATCATGTATAGATCCACGTACTGACCCAAGTCTCGACAATTGAACTCATTCCACACAAGATTGGCATGAAGATAGAGTCTGCGAGGGCAGGCCTTATCGTCTAATTTATTATAAAAAGCATCAATTAGAGGTAGCCGGGTTTCGCTGAAAAGCTCAAACGAGTCGAAGTAATCATACGGCATCACAACTTTCTTTGTTAGAAGATGGAGTTGATCTTCGCCGACGCTACAGAATTGAGACCTTAGATTGGGGAATTCGGTTGAATAAGATGCTAACTTGTCCAGAGAGGAATTCATGAAACGGAAGTTGTCGATGAATCTGAACTGAACACAAGTTTCGTCAACATGTTTAGTAAAGGAAATGTACTTCTCCTTTGTTATGGGCAGCAAGTCGATGGTTCCTTTCATTCTAGTGGCGATGTCAGCTATTACAAAATTTGCATCTTAACCACTCAAATTATGGAATACAACCGGCACCACAGGACTATCTTTATAATTTATATTACAAGAATCGTGGGCAGCTCCTCCATAATTTGTTTCTGGAACTAGGTGATTATGGTTCCTCACTCTCACATCATCAAGTCCAAATTTCTCCTCACAAATGTGACAATGTGTGGCATTCCGAAAATCTGCTTCTTGTTCTGAAGTCATATGAATATCATAAGGACGCCAGAATACAGTAGTTATATCTTCTGCCAACTGCTTCATTCTCTCTTCAGGCGAACCATTCCATGCAGTCTTCTCCCCGATAGGAACGATAAAAGGAAAGAGAATTGTCATAAGAACACTTGAGGTAATATCCAACAGAAGCAGGAATATGATGCTGGGGCTTCTGGGCGTCTCATGTTCTCTTCAAAACAGATTCAAGATCAGCGTACACGATGAAAGGTACTTCCTCTTTATTTTTGTGATTTTTGAATTTCAAAATATTTTTTCCCTTTTCAGGCATTTTAATAGCAGTTTCATTCAGTTTCATACACATTTCAATGTGATTATCTAGTTTAGCTAGAGACCTGAAGTAGTGCAAGCAGCGGTCGCAAAAATATGTACGCCCATTCTCTTTGCTCAGTTGGGTTGAGAGGAGCCTAGACATACCTTAATCCATACATAGTGGGATCTAACTGAAGCAGTGTTCTCATGTCCTGCTTTATTGAATTCCTCATGAATCCTAAGCAGGTTGACATGTATTTCTTTCTTATCCTTAGTAAGGTAGGTAGGTAGAGTAATCAGCTCTTTTCTATTTTGCTTGATTTTGTTACTGTTTTTGACGCATTCACTTTCAAACTGACATTTGGTATAACTAGTTCATTTGTTCTCATGACGCTTTAGCCCAAATTGAAAACTGTTGAAACACAAAATATGAAACTTCTTTGAAACATTGAGAATGACGATTTTCCAACTTACATTTGATAAAATAATAATTTTCGATTTTATTTATTTCAATACGTTAATTTCATTGATTTTGACTGTTTTATCATTTCTGTAGCTTCTCATTCAGAATCATCAATTAAAAATCGGACTGATATGAAAATTACAAAAAAAATCAAAATTCGGATTTTGCGCTGAAATTCGGTATGTAGGGTCAAAATCGATTTCTAAGCAACTCTTTCGAATAACTTTTTTCGGTATCTCCAACGCGACGCAAAATATCGAGAATTTGCCCTTTTCGCGGGATCGCGGGTTTAAGGCTGTCTGAGACGTCAGAATGTGACATTCTCGAGAGTTTTGACGCTCACTTAATTTTTTAGTTACATTCGATATTGCACAAAATAAAAAAAAATCTTCATTTGTACGAGTGTTTCGTTTTTGAAGCAAACTTGATGAGAATCACTGCAAAATATTACGAATCATGATACTCGACAAAAATGAATAAGTCATAATCATCAGATGTCATCAGTAATATTCAATTCTCATTTTCAATCCTATCGAAACTGAATAATTATCGTTAGATACGCCAAAAAATCTTTTTTCGGAAAGTGCTCGACAAAAAAATTGGTCGCTGTTTGAAAATATTCATGAGTCATAAAAACTTCGCGATTGTAATTTCTACTACTACTTACTACTCTAAAAAGATGGAGCAGGCGTAAAAACTGTCAAAAATGTCGCATTCTGATCCACTCAATTGTATCAGGATTCTAAAAATGTAACAATGTTACAATGTACAGGGTTTCGCATTTACCGATACCAAATCTTTGTCTTATAGATCCGTTGACACCGGGTATATGTAAATATAAATGTACTCAAATGATTGGTTATTGTTATGCAGGACTGAAAGAACCTTGGAAAATCGTGCACAGGATTGACAAAAATTCATCAAATTCAATGATATAATAGGACTTACCAACTGTTTTCGTGTTTGCTCATTATTTTTGAGATCGTTCTCATAGGCTATTAGGCTTCCATATTTCTTAAATAGCCTCTCGGGTGTAGATTCAACTGTTTCTGAACCATGTTGATTATTGGATAACCATACATTTTCAGATGTTTTCTGTTGCTTTTTAAACATTGTTCTGATGGTAGTACCATTTTCAAATATTCTGGTGAGGATATGAGCATGTTCACAGCAAATTTCTGGAATCAACAAAATAATGATGGTAAACACATTATGTAATCCCAGTACCATTCAAATTTTTGAGTCATCAAATTGGAATCAATTCATTGGAATAATCCATTACTTCTTACCTGAAATTGAATTTACAATTTCATCAGATGTATCCATCTGCTCGTACTCATCTTTTTTTTTTTCTTATGTTCAGGTTCCCACGAAAAGGGATATCCTGTATTGTTCAGAGAACATCGTGAGAATAAGGGGAATTAGGTAGGAATTGGTGTTTGTAACGATATAGATCCTGTACTATTAATGAGAGGGAGCTGATTTGGTTAACTTCCTGGACTATAGGGATATATATTGAGAAGTCGTCAATTTTGATAGATGTTGTTATAATAATTATTGATTGAACTGTCTAATATACGTTGATCTTTTCATCAACTCTTGCAGTTATTCTGTAGAATTGAATCTACTAAAGGTTAATTCAAACACCAGGCATTGCACCCGTAAGAACCCTATACATATTCTCCTTACATTTCTGGAGGTTATATGCCTCAGGAAACACCTTCCTTGGCAATGTATTCCAGAGCCTCGCTGTTCGTTGGATGAACATGAGATGTTTTGCAGGTCTCCAAAGTGACCACGAAGGTGTAAGAAACGTCAACTCGACGGGTCAATTTCGCGGGGACTGCCAATGGAGGAACAATTGTCGATATTTCAGAAGAGCATCTCCCATGAAAATATCTATAAAATAAGGCCAGATCGCCAACTTGTCTACGGTGTTTCAGAGAATTGAGTGACTTTGTGAGCGAGGCATCACTCACGAGACGAATTGCCCTCTTTTGGACAGAATCCAACAGTTTCAGGATATGTTTGGGTGCTGCACCGTTACCACCGATACAACAAGGCCAGCAGACTCTGACGTAAACAACTCGTGACGTCACCAAGAGAGGCCAGTGTTTTATTTTATCGCTTGTCGACTGACGCGAATTAGGAAGTTGGAAAATCGAGGAACGTTTTTAAAAAGCAATGTTTTTTCTTCAAGGTACAAGAGAGAACTGACTTTATTAAATGAAATTTACAAGTAATTCGTGAGACAAAAATGGTGTGATATAATTCATAGAAATGAAATACGAAACTGCTGAATCCGCTGATGAGAGTCAAACTCGTGTGTTCTTGGGGTGAATAACAGGAATATGGAAACGTAACTCCTCCCTGCCAAGATGAAAACATATCCTCTGGTTATGTTTTCTCATATGGTGATTTCTTCGTTCTTCTGGAAATCTTCTTTCTCGCAGACTAACTTCGGTTTGATGAATTTTGTATAAACTGAATATAAAACTGCCGAAATAACAAGGATATATAAAATTATAGTCCATAAACTAGATTTTTGATGTATTGGCTCATTATTGATCTCTTCTATCAGCTCCTTCTGTCTATTTACGTCGGTTTGGATGTTCATCAGTTCATGTACATTTATTGAAGATAGATCCAACGTTCCAGGGTCGTACTTCAAGTCGGTGTAATTAAGGTTGAGGTCTAATTCGGGTAATTGTATGTTTTCATAGAATATCTTCGGATTATTATAAGTTCGAATGGTACGTTTATCAATAGAAATTTGACAATTTGAGGTCATTTCCAATATGAAAGTGCCAAATAATGGTAAATTTTCTTGTAGAGTTCCACATTTCTTGACTGCTACGGTTTTTTGAGGGGCGACTATTATCCATTTATCTGCCATAATTCTTGTTATTTGGGTATCGGTGATTGATATCGGGATCTGGTAGCAATTGCTGATATTCTTGGAGAATCTTAGAAGTTGGACTTCACAGGGTGTGTCCTGAGACGTTTGGATTACGTTGTCTAGACTGCATAAATACTGACTGAATGCGGTTTTTTTGCAATTCTTTTCGAGATACATAAAGTTGTGCTCATTGGTTATAAGGAATTTTGATTTAGGAATAATCATATTGAAGGAATTGTTGTTTTTTGAAGTTAAAGGGTATAAATGGTAATATTGATAAATTTCTCGGTCTACTAGAGGAATTTCGATAATGAATATTAATTTATTCTGTTTTGAATAATTTTTGATGTTCATAATGTTTTCAAGTGAAAGTAAATTTTCAATATTGACTTCGAAAGGGAATTTTGTATCTTGTAACAGTTCGGCATTTCTCCGAATTTCTTCGAGTAAATCTGAAGGTTTCATAAGGGAGTTGTGCAACGTATTTAGTTTCGCAAATGAAATAGATACTTCTATCTTATCAAGAACATGAAGAATTGTTGGAAACATGGAAGTAATCTGTGATAAAACCATCTGAATCATAAAAAAGAGACTACCACTTTTGTTGATGGTACTATTTTCGATTAGTTCAGTAATTTGTTGATTTTTAGTTTTTAATACCAGCTGATTGTGAGAGAGATTATTTGATACTTCTAAGAAATTGGTTACAGATGTGTTGAGAATGGATATTTGATTTTCGAGAATATGCTTCATTTTGTTCTGATTATTAGTGAGCAGATTTATTTTTGAATCCTATTTTTCGGCGTCTTTTTGATCTAAATTTCCAGTTATGCATTTTATCATTGATCCTAAGCCGTCTATTATTCCTCTTTTTTGTCGTTTCGATATAGTCAATGGATTTAATTGTTCAATTTGATCATTTATTTTATTTTCTAGAGTGTTCATTATATTGTATGAGTTGAAGAATTCCGATTTATAGGATTCGCTAATATTGAATGAATTTGTCAGTTTATGAAATCTTAAAATCACGAATTCGTTGATGATTGGTTTCAAGTCAAAAATATGAATGAATGACCAATAATTGTTAGTTATTTGGGCACTGCCTAATCTGAATGGGATAATTCCGGGGTTGTTCTCTATCTAAGTTGGTGCACTCAAGGCGTTTCTTAATGAGGTGCAGAAGGAGAGGTACCTGAAAAAGGTTTCTTTAAGTCTCTCAAGTGTACCGTGATTATTTTCGAGTTTTTATTATTTCTAATCTTAGCTTTATTATTATCAATAAGTTCTAGTAATGTATATGGGCATATAAATTTATTTTTATTTTTCGTTCTTCCGTTAGATCTCTTATAAACGATTTGATTAACTTTGAATTGTGTTTGAATTTCACCGGCTTTGTTTCGTTTCTCTAGTACTGTATTTTTGTCTTTGTTTTGTTTTTCTTGAATTGTCTTATACAGGGCGTCCAGTTTGTCTTTGTGAGAATGAATATAGTCAGAATAAAAATTTGTGGGAATTAAATCGGATGGATCTCTTGATGTGGTATGACCAAAGGTTAACTCAAATGGTGTAAATTTTGTTGCTGAATGTAAGGTACTGTTATAAGCAATAATAGCATAAGGCATTAATTCTGTTACGGGTTTATTTGAATCTTTTTCTTTCAAAAGTCTTAAATGTTCTATTGAGGTAGAATGAAATCTCTCTACTGGTGAGTTTGATTCGTGATGATTAGGTGTTGTGAGATGAATTTTGATTTTTTGTGCTTTCAGAAGTTCTGTGACTGATGAGTTTTTAAATTCGCTACCATTATCAGATACAATAGTCTCTGGGACTCCGTAAATTGAAAAATATTGAATTAATTTGTCGACAATTGATTTCGAGGGTTTCGTACAAGGGAATGCTTGTCCTAGTTTTGTGAATTTGTCGATAATCGTTAAAAATGATTGATATTCATAGAAAAACATGTCAATATGGAGAATTTGGAATGGTTTTGAAGGGGTTTCGGTATGAAGAAGAGGTTCATAGGGATTTTGTCTAGAGTATTTGCCTTTTCGACAAGTTTCGCAGTTGTCAATGTAGTCTGTTATGTCGATTTTCATATGTATCCAATAATAGTTTTCTTTAAGTCGGTCATGAGTTTCGGTATTTCCACGGTGATTGGTTCTGCTTTCATGTTGATGTTTAATCATAAGTAATTTTTCGTCTTTTTCAGAAACATTGTTTACTAATTTTGTGAATTGAAATATTTTTCAAGCTTTGAAATTCTGCATATAAATCTTAGTGAAAAATGGTATGAGCTCTTCGTTCTGGAAATAGATGTAGTTGTTCCTGTCAGGGTTTACATGGTACATGAGAACAGATTTAGTTTGAAAAACGTCATTCAGGGGAATTTTAATATTTTTTATGGTATGTCCGTCAAATTTGGTTTCGTCAATGTCGAGGTTAGGATGAGGATTTCTGTCTAGAATAATTTGGTTGGATTTGTTATTGATAATTTCGTTCAAAATGGGTATTCCGTCATTTCGGGTGTCTTCAGCGTTTGTGTGTTCAGTGTTGTTTGAATTTACAGGAGACTGTGGTGTTTCTATTAAATCGTCTGAATTTTGATTAGGGTCATTTGAATTTTCAAAAGGGTTTTCGGCACAATTTCGTAAAAATTCCAGAATATCTTCGTTGGCTTCACCAGGATTATTTGCTATTGATTGGGTTTCATTAATATTCAATTGAATTCTCGAAAGAGCATCAGCGTTGAGGTTTTGTTTGCCTTTTTTATAAACTATTGTATAATCATATTCCTCGAGCTTTAATCTCCATCTGACGAGTTTACTGTTTGGTTCCTTTAAATTGAATAACCAGACTAGAGGTCTGTGATCAGTGTATATTGTGAATTTTTTTCCAAATAGGTATGGACGAAAATATTAACATGCCCAAACGATGGCTAATAGTTCCTTTTCGATTGTGCTATATTTTTGTTCAGTCTCGTTCAAAGTCCGGGATGCATACGCTAGGGGTTTGTCATGGGGAATATTACCTTGAGAAAACACGGCTCCTAATGCATAGTTAGATGCATCGGTG